GGAGGAGGAGGAAGAGGAGGTGAGAAATGGTCAGAGGATGTATAGGAGGTGAAGACAGATGAGGAGGAGGAGGTGATGAAGGGTGACGAGGAAGATGGATGTTCTGTAAATTAACATGATGTGAGAGAAATGTGTTCTGAGATTAGATTAAATCAGATTAAATTCAGGTAAATTAGTGTTAAATTAAGATTTTATTACTTTATATAACATTTCAATCAGATTAGGTTCAGTTATATTAATTTAAGATTCGATTTTAGGTTAAATTTTAGGTTTGGTTAAGGTTACATTAAAATTAGATAACATTATTTTTAAGGTTAGATTAGATTAAGATTATATTTATATATAGTTCAATTTAAATCGAAGTTAAGGTTAGTTTAGGAGTCAGGTTAAAGTTCAGTTTTAATAAAGATCACATTAGATTACATTGAATTACATTATACTAAATCCAAATGAGATCAAAATTAATTAAGATTACAGACTATTAATAAATCAGCAGATGATTATTAAAGGGGCAGTGTGTGGGATTCAGTGGCATCAAGCATTGAAGTTGCAGATTAGTGGACCTGAAACCCACAAATGGTCCTAAAATATCCTCAGGCAAAGGTTGGGAACATCATAATGTTTACGCTGCGTTACGGACTCATTGATCCTTTATCTGACTGAGGTCTGTTAGACCAACCCTCCTCTGGGGCCGCTGACAATAATAGTCCCGTGCAAATAGGTCACAGAAGTCATTGAGGGGATTTTTCCAGAGCTTTCAACCGCATAAGAAGACTGTTGTTTATTAAAGTAGAACTGTGTGTGTGTGTGTGTGTGTGTGCGTGTGTGTGTGTGCGCAGTGACTTTCATGTGTGAGCGACTGCATCCACCTCTAGTTATGCAACAGACCTTTTACTGACGCAGTGAAACACACACTCACACACGCGCTCACACACACAGACACACACACACAGGGTTTTGTTCCGAGGCGTTCTTGCTTTAATCTTAATGAACAAGGACAATCAGCTGCTCGCCTCACGAACTGAAGCTATTTATATACACGTACCCCCAACACAAACACACAGATCTGGGATTTGAACTACAACCTTCTGGTCTGTTTGCAGTCGTCCAGTGAAGACTCAGGACAGGCTCAGGACAGGGAATGACAGTAGGACAGGAACTTGTTTCTGACCACAGACTGAATATAAAGATGCAGCCCCTCCAGGAAGTTGGATCACAACAATTAACGTAAATTCAACCAATCCCCGTGAATTCTGCGTGACCTCGTAATTCCAATTTCCTGCAAAATCTGACCAATCAGAGCAGTCAAGGTGTTGAGCCATACTACCATTGATTTTATTCTCACTGGAACACTTCTACAAAAAATAGCTTTTATTTTCACTTTCTTCTGCAGTTTGATTGCAAACAAAAAGCCCAAAACATTGCAACACAATGTTTTTAGAAAAGTTGGTGTGATTTGTAATTTTAGGCCGCAACAGTCCCCCAAAAAAACCAGTGCAGTAATCATCGAGTTTGGCTCAGCTGTCAATTATGACATGAAACCCCCACTTTTATCTTAATTAAAACCAAACTGAACACTTGAACGTACATCAGCGCTCTAAGAACAAGGAACCTAAAATGGCAGAAACCATCCTCAGGAAATATTTATTTGTACTTTGTCCTCTCCTGCTAATGTTAAAGGGCAGAGTTTATGAGCTATACTGCAGTGAGCCACCAGGGGGCGATGTTTTTGACTTCATTTTAGGGGGTCTGTCATCAAGTACTACATACATCCATAGTTTGTCCACCAATCTTGTCCAGACTGAAACAACGACTGATGGATCAGACTTTGATGTTCCCCTCAGGATCAATTCTGACTTTATTGATCTTCTGACTTTTTCTCTAGTGCCATCATCAGGTCATTTAACGTGTCCAATACTTTGGTTTATGACCATTATAATATTTAATATTAAATACAATATAACAATATTTAAAAATGTTTGTGCAGGTCCTGAGTTGGGTGACCAATCAGTAGTCTGCAGTGTCACCGGTAGAAGTGGAGTTTCTTCTGATGGTGTTTACAGTTGACGTCAGAAAAATCAGGAACGTTAAGCAGGGCGCCAGTACCGTAATACAGCAACAACAACATAACCCTAAATCTTTATTATTTATGCATTTTTATCTGTTTCAACAAGCACATTTTCAGCACTGTTTTCTCAGCATTTCCCCATCCATATTTCTCCCCTGCTCTGCCTCTGATTGGCTCTCACCCTGACATTACCTGCACTCACCAGAAGGTTGTGGTACACAATGAGAAATAAGGTAACTTGTGTAGACAGAATTCAGAAGTGCCAGTACTTTGACATTAGTATATGTTGTTATGGACCAGTGTGACAAGTGGACAGATTGATTAACTACTATACAATGTGATTGGCTGTGAGGAGAACAGTTAGCGGTGTAATTAATCCTGTCCCACTGAGCTGGAGACCAGGAGGTTCAATGAAAAGTGGAGGACGAGCAGCGGCAGCAGCAGCACATCGCTGTGGACAGTCACAGGATTAAACTGAACAAATGGTTTCAGTAATAATTAAGCCTCATTTGGACGGATTAGTTTCTCCACAGCAGGAAGGCTAATTGTAATAATTTAAAATATGAGGTTAGATGAAACTCTGCTGTCAGTCTCAGTGTTCTGCTGCAGGACTCAAATCAACAACCCAAGATCAATAGTGATCGATAGCGTCGTCGAACAGTCTGACCTGTGACCCTGGAGTGTTCACACTTCACCAGACCAAGCTCCAAAGTTCACTCACACAGTTTAAAATGAACTAGTGCACTTTTTTTTAATGAGCTTTCCAAAAGGTGTGGTGGAGGAACGAATGCTGGCTCGTGGTCTTAAGTCAATCTTCATTAGCTTTTTCTTCTGATAATCGTTCACTTAATGAGCCGCCTTTTCACTGTTTTGTTTTCCTCTCTCTTCAGCAGTGAGTCGATTTAAGAGCTCCGTCGGAAAATCAAAAGGGAAACTTGATGAAGTTTACTAGAAAAATAAAGGAACTTTTTAAGAGATTACTGTTTGTTGTTGTTGGGTTAGGGTTAGTTAGTTGTGATGTCAGTTAGATTTGGTTATGACAGAGTTTTGGAAAATCGAATCATCCATTGTTTACTCATTACATCTTAGACTTTATTGGCCATGAGAAGCAGGTACTTATCGGGTAGTCCATATCGTCCAACTCTACTCTGCAACTGTCAGATCACCTGGATTATTGTGTTGGATGTATGTGTTATATGTTTTTGTGTTTCGTGGTTTGATTCTTCAGCTTCATCTTCAGCACAAACTCTGATATCCGGTCTTTCTCCTGTAGGCCTTCGTAAAGGTCGGTTCTGGATCACGCCCGACCCGTACCACAACGACGACAACATCCAGATTGGCCGGGAGGTGAAGATCAGCTGCCAGGTGGAGGCCACGCCGCCCGAGGAGCTGCAGTTCAGCTGGTTGAAGAACGGCCGGCCGCTGAAGAGCTCCGAGCGGATGGTCATCACTCACACCGACACCGACATCTCACCGGGAACAACCAACCTCGACATCATCGACCTCAAGTTCACCGACTTCGGCACTTACACCTGTGTGGCGTCGCTGAGGAACGGAGGAACCCCCGAGATCAGCATCGACGTCAACATCTCATCCACCACAGGTGAGTTGTGCTTCGGGCAGGGCTTGAAGAAGTACTCAGACACTTGATAAATGTAGCAAGTAGTCCTTTCTACAAAATTCTCAAAATACAAAAAATGGGAGTACTTGGCTGAATGGATACTGTGCATGCATGTACATGACTCCAACGTCGCCAATTCAAATCCAGCCGGTGACCTTTAGCAAGTTTTGAGGCCACCATAGTTTCGCCTACATGTTTGAAAGGATGAACAGTATTGAGTTGTGCAATCTGCTACTTCACCAAATTACATTGCTTGCTAACTAAAGGCCTCCGCACACCAACCCGATTATCGGCCGTCAGACGTCGTCGGACAGTCGGGCGAGG